TGAATCTGTTCGGAGGCAATGCGACTTGCACTTGCTATATGATTGTGGTCGGTATCGGTATGTTAGAGCGATGGGTCAGTGAGAGACTCGGAGAAAGAGATAGAATAAAACGGCAATAAACAAGACTGCGAGATAGAAGAAACATACGAAACAAGAACTGCACTATTCAGATCCAAATTTATCATCAAACGATGTTTGGCATTATCCTTTCCGGTCCAGCCGACCGTACCCTGGTCGATCCGCGGGGCTACGGCCTGCAATTTTGTCTATGACATACATTAGATGTGAAAGGGTATCAGAGAGGCTCTAGTTCAAAGAAAAATTGTTCTTATATGCTCAGGTGAGAGTGAATGCCGAAACCTGAGGAGTACCACTAATTCCTCCAGCCTTTATCCTTTGCGACTACGAATCCGTTATATGTCCTTTGATTAACCTGGACTTTTATATTATACAATGCGATTGACCAATTCTACCGTAAGCTTCTACAACACATATATATGAAGCAACACAATCTAGTCAACGGAGCAATCGTATGTGGGATTCTAGAGAAAACTATGCTAACCTACGATCCACCCCAGCCTTCATGCCTTTCAGTGAAGCTAGAGCGCGACAGAAATTCGTAGGAGGCTGATCCTATCCATAGAGCTATAATAGGAAAATAGCTTTAGCAGCCATCAAGGTTGCAAGCTGATCGACTGAAAGCTTTAGGAGGCGCCTCGTACGAAGAAATACCAAATCGAGAGTGACATTTATTGACAACCCGATAGTCTCACGGCTTCGTCTCTGGCTATCTAAAGACTTATGGATTGGTGTAGGATGAAAAGACTTCTTAGAATCGAGTTAATATTTTCATAGCGACGGAATGGATAACAAAGAGAAACTTACTAACTGACTATCGGAAAGAGGCCAATTTTTTGAGTTCGAGGTCAAAATGAAAATCTTCCCAGATTTCTTCATACGAAGAACCAGATGTATATTAGCACCGCATTCTGAGCTATACTCAGACGCTTTTTTGAAGACTGTGCTTCGTCTCCTACACGCTTTTTGATTGACTGCGTCTGCTAGGTTGGTTTCCAGTTTTGGCTGAACGACCATATTGTGGCTTATCGTAAGTACTACTAGCACACAAGAGGTAGAAGGATCAGATTAAGAAACAATTAGACAGTCGATCAAAATTCGAGATTGGCAGTAGTGACTTGATAGATAAATGGTGGTCTATAGCCAGCCCTGCACTTATGTGAAAAGGGACTCAGCTTAAGGGTAGTAGGACAGTAGCGTTTATATTGTAAGAGAAAGCCAGCGTATAAACGTATTGTTGAACTGGTCTCAGATCTTATAAGGACTGGTGAATCGTCGCGACTCATTTAAATAAGGGCCTTCACTTCACTTTAGGCAATGTGAGAGAACCTTTTTATTATAATGGTTGGCTCACCGCTTCTTCTGTTCAATAAGTATAGCCATATACGTGAAACACCAAAGGTTTCTTATACTCGGCGGCAGCACATCTTGAGCCGAAAGAATAGCAGAAATAGACTACACTATGCTTTTCTGGTGGACTCAAATTTCCGCGGCAGCCTCGGTAGTTCAAGCGTCCTTCGATTTATATGCACTTCGGAGATATATAAAGCCGCAGCCAATCCTAGTATAACCTTTAGCTACAGAATATCTAACTTATATTTGATTATAGAAGGCCATCTCGCCTCCTACTATGATACTCGTGAAATAGCACCTGCTGCTATAGGCAGTTACGTTTTCGCTAGTCTATACGCACTTGAAAATGACTTCACCCGAGCCCTATAGTAGAGACGCAATTAATAACTCGCCACTAGCTACCGATGGTAGTGATTTTCCTTATAAGCTACAACCAGGCGCCTTTTAAGCCCCGACAGAAGAATCGACTTATTAGACCGGGTATAATAACACTATTAAGCTCTAAGGCAGCGCCACCTATAGGGGTGGTTCCTATTAGGTGAGCCTCACCAGTGATCGCGAGCCGATAAAGAGATCGGAATAGAAAGTCATTAAGTCCTACGAAGGAGGATGCCCCGCAAGTGTATCCAGCAATCTTCCTGGTAATACCACGTCGGACCATTTCCTCCAACTCCACTTCGCGATCCCTAATAGAATTGAGCCCGGGAAATACACCTTGGCCTAGACGTGGTTTAATCGTATCGGCAATCGTGAGATATATATAAATTGCGCACCTATCACTATGGCTAATGACTCACCGTCAAATTCGTCCGACAACACGCCCAAACAATCGCCTACTTTTCCTCCTATATTCATCGCCAACGTGAACGAGTGCTTTACCAGAGAGAATGTAGACATCCGCTTCCCTTGGCCTAGAAGCGTTGTTAAATTTAATAGCGATAGCAAAAGTCGTCCGCTAGAGAGCGAACCGGTATGCACCGGAAATCCTACATTTAGTCCAATTCCAATCACCGATCCAGCCGACACCGGCGAGGCAGATTCTATTACTAAAAGTTCCCACTCGACGTCTTGTTCGTATGACTACCAGGGTAACTAGACTTACAAAAATAGCCGAACGAGCAGTGGGGTCCTATAGTTTGGGCTCTATAGACTGGAGAGTTCAGATTATCTAGCTTAATCAAAATCGCCTGTAAAGTATAAAGTTCATATAAGTAGCTACCATCATAATACTAGTCTACAATGTTCCATCTATCTTTTTTGATTATTCAAAATTGTCTTAATATTCTCGTTCCAGCAAGGCATTGTGCGAAATAATGATAGTATTTTACTCGGCTGGTATGACTATGCTGAAAAAGAAATAGAGGCACCGCACTCCTCGTGCTACATAAAGTGCGACCCCAATAGGCGACAAATGAACGCTAATAGACTAATACCGGTTGCTCATATAAGCAACGATTGATTTTAACAACAGGCTACAAGTTAAGTGAGCGTCTATAGAGTAGTCGAGGAGCTATTTCGAACCTACGACAAGTCTTTCGTTTGAAAATACATTTATAAACTACCACCTGCGGTACCGTGCTTTGTCTATTGAACTTCCCCTCCTAGCTTCCCTTATATGCCACATATATAGTGTCCGAGCGGCAAAGATGAAACACAGGATCGTGAGATCTTTCTCGACTTGGTAGGCCTTCAAGCAAAGAGCCAAGTCAACGCCAATGAGTTCTTCGTTCAGCAACGAGCATAGTAAGATTTGATGCCGTGATAAGCAGTCTTGTTGGCTACACTGACCAACAATTTCAATTCTCCTTCGCATGATCCTCGGGTAAACATCGCATTCTGTCACATTAGCGGAGAATTTGGAGAGACGGAATGAATTTACCTACAAGAGTTCCTCAACGGAGATACTTTCCAGCTGGCAAGGCAAATTTTTGATCTTAGGTTCCCACTCGTAGGTAGGATTCCTTAGCATCAATTTAGTGACAACATCAGCTAGAGCGTATAATTTCATCGTCGTAGGATTCATTTCCGATTCATTGATTTGGCAGCTATTCTCGACGCCCACTAGGGAAAGTTAGTCTTCGTAGATTCTTATCATATAAGCGGATGCCTCACTGATCTTGACATCACCAGCCTATATAAGTAGGATCGTTTCCGAACCTAGGGTAGCGAGTGCTCTTCCAAGCTCGCGCAGATATTGTATTCCTTCTAGGATCTATTTTAATTAGTTACAAATGCACTGCAAGATGATTGTGTTTGACTCACTAGTTTGACAATTCCAACCAGTTCATCGCTGGTAATCGAGCAGCTAGAGGCTAAAATGTGGCTAACTGACACTTCCGTTAGCTCCCAGACCAACGTGCAGGATGCGTTATGATGGTAACATTCGAGCAATCTCAGAAAACTTAGATGAGAGATTTATTCTATTAGTTCTAGGAAACCCGTAGCGGGCGAGAACTATTACTTGAGTTGTTAGATATACACCAACTCTCCTTTTATCGTCTTATATCGGGCAAAGATCAGAGACCGATCTTACGATGATATAGCAATAGGTTCGAAAGTATCCTATAGGTTTTAGTTTAGCTATAGGATGCTTGGCTTTAGGCGATCTAGGAGTGATTTCTTTGAACCGAGGGCGATTGTGGCGGCGGTCATCATCTAACTCGGCGAAGGTTGGATATCCGGAGAAGCAATTAGTTTTAAGCTCGGGTGCTCATAGAAGAAAGCAGATTGATCAACCCACACAGTCGGAGGTCGACTAGGGTTGACCTGATTGTGTTTCATCATTATGTGTGATTTTGGCGACTTATAAAAAAGTGTAGTGGAAAATACGGGAGGCAAATGGATTTTATATCGCCAAACCTTGATTTCTATATGCCTCTTTAGCCCTCATCACGATGGCCCTTAGTCAAGACATTATATTATTACGTCACTACAACTGAAAAGTGATAGCCCTCAAATTAGCAGGCTATGGTGAATGCTTGTGGTCTATATCCGTCACAGTCGGTTGACGTTTCAACGATTTGGCTGGATAGCTTGCTTTGCATCAGAAAATAGCTCTTGAATACCATTTACCCCGACCACATCAGCCCTGACTCTTTTATGGCACTCGAACTACGGCACAAATTGATTACAGATGAAACATTATGCTTCTTTCCAAAGTTTATTTCAGTGAAGGCAAAGCCAGTAGGTTTTGGAATTCTTACTGGGCAGGTGTAATAAATGCCGTCCACGAAGCTATAATATGTTTCAAGGAAGAGGGAAAAAGCCCAAAGCTTCAATTGTATGAGGCCAAAGAAAGTCACTTGTATATCGGAGTGCCTTAAGAAGTGCAATCACCATCCTAAGAATGGCCCGGTATATCCTAGGAGCAGTCTCATAGTTTGCTGACAGCCTTACTTTTCCTCAATTCCGATGATCACCTGTGGGGCTCCGTTCATGCAGTCCAAAAAAGTGCTATGAGCTATGCTCAGTGTGCCGTTTGTTTTGAGAAACTTAACATAAGTGGTGCTCATTCGCTCCGTATGAGCCGACTGGTCTTATATCCTCAGCAGCAATCCGAGCCCTCCAAGATGACATCTGAGCGTTTCGTCCCTCGAGCACTGTTAGTTTCTACCTGACAATATTTGAACCCCACTAATATTTGATAGATCGATTGAAGACTTGCCGTTACCTCCAGAAGCTGCCAGACAGCAGCAATCAACCGCTGTGCCAACAGAATCTACAAAAGTAGCCGTTGTGACCCGGAGCGCGGATCCTGAAGAGGAAAAGCCAGCTCTTTTCGCCAATGCGAAGATAATTTCCTTCGAGTGGGACAACTCCAGTTCCAAGGTCGCAGCGAGTAGGCGGAAGAATCAGGCTCGGGTATCACAAAGGCGTCGTAATCGAATCAAGCAGTACCAGAGTTCGATGGCGGATGTCAATGCGTACTCGAGTGAGGTTAGCAAACTTTTGTACCTAATGTTGCAGCAAAGAGCTCAATTGCTTATCCTAAATGAATTCAAGATCTAGTGTTGACCAAACAGACAGAGCGTGCCCTGGCAATTCTGGATTGTCGTCCACAGGTACTTTCCGCTTACGTTCCCTCGGTTCGAGATCTGCTTACCACCTTCATAACCACTACAATTAGCTCTTAATACATACAGATCCATCAAACAGTTTGTCAGATACTGTGGCAGTTACCTTGTTTCAATACCGTGGAGTGACCCTGGCATGGTTTTGAAGTAAATTACATGGACGGAACAGCAGGGCTGGTCCGATGGCGAGTAACAACGTCATTTAAGTTGCATTTCACGCCGGATTTCAAAGTCCAGGAGGAAACGCAAAAAGCCGAGCTTGCTAAGAGCCTGTTGCCTCTGGCAGAGTGGACGTTCTTCGAAAGCCTGAACATCACCAAGAAGAACTCTATGTTGTTAGATTTTGAATAGGAAGAAGTCGCGTTTGGCCGTTCAGATGGACTGGGTTTTTTTCTACAGGGTTGAAAAGATTGCATAGCCACTCTAACTCCGAGGAAATAAAGCATGTAATCCTTTGCGTCAATTATCATAGTGGTCTTCACGGGTATGATCCTTTCCTGCAGACTGATAAAAGGCTCCCACATGAATCATAGGCTTTGACAAATGATCATCGCGGTAAGAAAAATCAAATAGCACAAGCCCAGCCCCCGAACTGTCGCCAAAGATCGCGCATTTCCAGACGCTTCAGCGGGTCTCGTAGATCCAAGTTGTGTAGGAGCAGGCAAGTCAGATACTGTACCAGCCTCCACCGTACTAGCCGTTGGCAGAGTGAATGTCGGGATTATCATAGTCAATGGCACGAAGGCATTGTTCCATGCTATCGTTCCGGTTGTGTTCGTGCTTTGAGCGGTCGCCATTTTGTTTCTGACCCAAGTGTTGGTGGTAGGGTCGCTCTCAGAGTCGCCTCCTGTAAAACCTTTGATGCTGTAACTTGTCAATCTTGTAACATAGCATTGCAATGGGCATAAATTGAGATACTTACTCAGTTTGTGCATATGACGTTGGTTTAGGGTACCGATGTACGTTCAGAATTCAGTCGGCATGGCAGTAGCGTCTGATGAATTTGATCCAGCTTCCCAATGGTACATGTACAGGTGTCCTAACTAGACCTTATCTTAGCTGTTAATAACATGGGTGGAAATGAAATTCTCGTGGAGATACTTACCTTAGCCTGGCTACTGTCGGGAAGGTAATGTCTTTTCAGGTAATCTTTGTGGAATTGAGGAGCCAAAGGTATTCCAAGAGAATAAGACTGAGGACTCGAGCGGGGAATGAACTCATCTTTATGCTGTCGTTTCAGTTAGTCATTTTTTTGACCTCTAAACGAAATGAGAAGAAACCACTAGAGCTCCCATTATCCCTTGCACATTGACATCAACAGTATGCTATATCGTTGCGGTAAACATAATTTCTCAAACTGGACATTGTTTGCAGACTTCCGATATACATTCAAGGTGTCGAACTTGTTATACCCCTATGTACTATGCTGTGCGCTATGTCTGGAAGCTGGTCACCTCACCATCCTCACCGTCCTCACCATCCTCACCATCCTCACCATCCTCACCATCCTCACCATCCTCACCATCCTCACCATCCTCACCATCCTCACCATCCTCACCATCCTCACCATCCTCGCTCTTTCATGTTTCCATGTTCTCGTGGGGGCTCTTAGCTCCTTAGTGGTTGTTATCGTACTATTTGCTACTTTTGTTGTGTCTCAAAGCGCATTGCCTTGGAGAATCGAGTTGGTCACTCCTCGAGTACAATCACGTCAATTTTTCTATGATCTATATAAGAATAACAGATTCATATCACCCTTAAGAGGTTATTAATTCCCATTGGCCAAGGTTTTAATTCTCATTCTCGTTCTGTTCATACATAGTGGCTTCGTAAAGTTCGTCACCGAGTAGCAGTATGGATGTACTGTAGATAGATATCAGAACAAGCTAAAAGGGTATGGGCTAGTATGCATTTGGGGCGAATGAGATCGAGCGGAACCAATCGAGGATGAAACGATTGATTGATTGAAAAGATCTAAGCATGCGATCCAGGGTAGGTTGAATAACCCCATGAATGGTGGATACTCGGTGGTTACTACACCGAGGTTGCTAGTTGAACCAATTTGCCACCAATGTGTGGGTCCCTGGTGACCAATCGCTTGCTAGTAATGAATTACTACTCCATGCGCTGACAATAGAACATCAAGAATCAAACGGCTCGGGACTTTCTAGAGACGAGTTAAGTAAAACCACTTCTTTCTGTGTGTTCTATTTTGAATCTGAACACCACAAGAGAACAAAACAAGAAAAAAAAAATCAGAGATTCAATTTGAAATAAAAGAAAGCCATCTATCGGTCTATGTATCAAATCAATTTATCGATGGGGCAAATTCAACCCCTCCTCATACCCAATTCAAAGTTAACAATCTAGACGAAAGCAAGGCATTAATGGGCGGCGACAACTGCTCCTGGTCATTGGCCAATTGGAAAATCGACCGAGTGTTGAGATTGGTTATTCCCAGTAATCGTGTCCCTGTACAGGTCATACATGGCTTGCGCCACCGTCAAGCATGCTTCTCTCTGGATATCATTTAAATTATCCCATCCCTTCTTTTCCTTCCATTCTGCAATAAATTCCGCTTCCGTGCGTATGGCTCTTTGGCCAATTGCGCGGTCCGACTTGTTCTGCATGGCGCTGGTGTTCGAGTTCAAAGAAGCTCCGGAGGAGGCTGGGGTGTGAGTCGCCTCATCTCCGTCAAGGCTGATCGGGTTGGCTGGCGACCTATGTCCCGTATACAAATGTGCAGTGGAGGAAGGGGGCACTTCATGTTGTCCCGGAGATGAGATTTGTATCGTAGGCGAACTGAGGCGCGAACTGACCTGTCGCTCAGGTGACTGCCTCGCTGCTGAGCCCAGTGGGAAAGGGGTGGGAGATCGATCTTCAGTGCGTCTTCTAGCGTCGCTCTGAAGCACGCGGTGGTATCGTTTCTCTTGTTCCTCCCAGACCTCCTTGATTTTTGCGTCTGCTGCGCGCTTGCCATTGTAGAAGCGTTTGAAATCGGATCTCGGAATCCAAGAACAAGAATTTTGCATTTTTTTGGTATCTTCTGGCCTCAGATCCTTCCATTTGATCTTTAGCCAAGTATATGGATCAGACTTGCCCGATTTTCTTTCTTCCGAGACAATACCGTAGATCCCGACAACGTTGTCTTTGGTATACCGCCAGATTTTGCTCTATAGACTAACTTTGATCTGGGAGATCCGCAAATCTTAAGAAATGTGGTTCATATGGTCATTGGTATATCCATGTCTGTATTTAAGTTTGTATCTGGCTCTATGGCGAGGTCCGTACTGGAGAATGATAAAGGTTGATCCTTGTAGATTTCCCCATCCATCCACAATCGCGTCGTTTTCCTCGTTATCATTCGAGGAATCAAGGGTGGCTAGAAGCTCTGGATCTTGGGGCTCGGCGGGACCTTGGGAACTAGGAGATAAATAACGTTGATTCTATGAATGGCCGGCTGTAGGAGGGTGTTTATGACCACTCGAGCTTGACCCGGCTCCAGTCTGATATACCGAGCCAACATCATATATCGGGGAGTCATCTCTCTCGATAGATGGCAGTGGAGAATCGTCTTGCTTAATCAGCCCATCTTCGTTAAACTGACCGCCGTGGTTTGTGTCTAACGAGTTGTCTGTTGGAAGAGGCCCTTGCGAAATAGACGCCTATACAGCTGCCCTAATGAACTTTTCAGGGATTTCTTTTTTGTTTTTGTTTGCTAGATGCTCCATTTTAAGGAGCCTTGACATATTGTCGCTCTTAGGAGGAGAGCTTTTAGTAACTCCACTATTTGATGCCATTTTGAATGACCAGCCGCGATGCTCTCTGCGAAAAGCAAAACATTCACGCGGCCGATGGCGGGTATTTATGCATTTCGAGATATTGAGCGATGTCTTTGTGAAGACGCAATACCGCGATATTTCAATGTGAGTTTTAAGTAAATGCGTGTACCTCAGGTTTGTTTGATTGTGCTCAACTTTCAAAAAGAGCAAGTGAGTATCAACTTAGCTACACTCTAGCTCGTTAAAATCTGTCTTAGAATAAAGAGACAAGGGAATGCGAGCTTCGTATGTTACTAACGAGTTCTGAACCCTAGGCTTTGAGTATAATCAGTTTTTATGTCTGGAAATACATCGTTGATTTTTACTTTTGGAGGCATTCTATCCCGTTAGCTAAATAACGAGTCAGACCTATTAATTCATAAGGGAGGGTAAGGGACCAACTTATACGCACTAAAGCATCATAGTTTCTTATAGAGGGTTAATTGCGGCGAGTTTCGCCAGGCATTTGGCTAAAGCATCTAGATACGTTGACCTTAAGAACTCATTTATTGGGCCGGTCTCGATTTGAGAAAGTTGATAGAGCTAATAAGATAGTTTTTAAGCTGCAAATTTTTCTTATATACTGTATATCTGCTCTAGGAGATTAAAATCATACCTGACAATGTGTTTCATTTCTAGGATTTCCTAGGCAAGGATGGCGTTATATAGTGGCCTTCCTTCGATCCTTAGTCTATTGGTTATTTAAAATGACTACATTTATAAAACCTTCTTTGGTACTTAAGCACACCGGTGTCCACTATTTGGGCTCGGGCTAATACCATTTATATGACGGAGGTGCGTGACTAATATTGTATGGGAACTAGAACGGTAATATCGAACTCTCTAACTAATAAAAAACACAGAATGACATGTCGGTATGAAAACTAACACTATTGTCAAACGATCAATAGTATATATAACCATGGCCTTCTCTAGTCTGAAACCTTGATATCACTTTATGATTGTAGCTCGAGAACGCCTGATATACTCATCTTCTCTTATAATCTTCTCTAACTTATAGAATTTGTAAATCGCTAGAAGTGCTAAATAGGTAGAAAGAGTTGCTCTAGTTATAGTAGTTGTTATAATTGCTATTACCGACCAATCTCCACCTTAAGACGTACACACGTTAATAATAGTGGTTAGCAGCCCGGCGGTAGTATTTAAAGAAAGAGGCCTAGTTTAGTTTTAGTCCTAAGCCTACGCTCTCCAAATCTCTCGAACGGCTTGGCTCACTTACGTAAATAGTCTATTGATCAGCCATATATAGTTGCCCCTGATTTTTGGGAAGTGTAGCAGCTATATGAGAGCTCTAATGCCACTAATAAGAAGAAGACACGTAATCCCGAGTAATAGAGGGTTCTAGATAGTATGTAGAACGGTACGGCCGGCCTCGTTAGCTTATAAAACCCTTTCGACCTAATTTAAAGTTTGTAGCGAAGTGAACGTGCCGGGGATGACGAGATAGCCGGCTAGTAGTGCCCAATTAGCCATACCGACCGTGATATTGAAGCTGATATCTATTTCTGC